TGTGTGTGTGTGTGTGTGTGTGTGTGTGTGTGTGTGTGTGTGTGTTTGCTGTGCAAAAAGAATAAGTGCCAAGTTATGTAACTTTTTAAAAAGTGCTAATTAAACTAGGGTCAGACTATGAGTGCCCTGAAGAAATCTTTCTAAGTGCTTTGTGTCACATAGGCAGAAAGACTAGATTGGCTACCTAAATTCATCTTAAACTTGCTTTACAGGTACTGTGAGTTTCTTAGGCAAACAGGCAGCTGGGAGACCTTTGAGCCATAATCTGCATTTGGTTTCATTGGTGTTCTTTAATCTAAGATAGGCCCTTGTTTATTCATGAAACTTTCACAGCTGAACTATAGTGTTTCATTCCCTTGTTAGGCAAAAATAAATAAATAATTAAAATTAGTTACTGTTTTAAAAAAATACTAAATGAAAGGAGAAACTCTCAGTTCTGCTAAAGTTACTGAAATGGAAAATAACAGTTAATTGTTTATGTTTCCCATAAAAAAATCTTGTTGGGTCTGTGTAAACATGAAACAGGTGAGAAACTACCAATAATATAATGTAGGTTTCTAAACATATAAAAAGGCGAGAGGATATTTAATATTCATTTGCCCTCTGCTGTAGTAGGTACCAGCACACTGATTTTGCAAGCCCAGAAGATTGTAAACATATTTCAGATTTATAATTTCTGGTTAGACTGGAAAGCAGTGTTAAACATGTATCTCAGAGTTTTCTTGTTTGACTGCAAGTTGGGCTCAATTGACAGAGTAGTTCTTCACAAGGGAGCGTGAGAGACCAACTTTAGCATTAGTGCTGAAAATGTACAGGCAATGTTTTCTCAAAATCAAAGTCCCAGTGTGGAGTCATTGCACCATCTTACAGATCCCATTGCTTTAATTTGAGAACATGCTGCCCCTAAGAACTCTTAACTATCTTGTAGTAAACATTTCTAGATAAAAGGTTCTTCCATAGAGGACTTTAGTTTTATTTCAAAAGATTATCAAATCCTTAAGAATACATTTCATGGCATGAAAAAATATAGTCAAGTTATAATTTGGATTTTAACAAAGCAATAAACTTAATAGGTTATTTGTTTAAACAATCAGCAACACAACAAAAGCACACATATAAAATGGGAAATGGCAGGTCAATCCATTTGGCTTTGCCTATTGTTTCTTTAATGGTAAAAATGAGTCAAGGAATAGAGGGGACCTATGCTCTAGGAAAGATTTGTGTACAGTGATACTTGGTTTTAGAAGTTAGAAGTGAATTCACTGCTTCAGGACTTTTATTCTCTACCCTCAAACTACTGTTTGGAACCTATTCTGATCAAACCCCCTCATTGACAGATTTCATTATCATCTTCCATTTTAATCTTCCTGGGCCTTCAATCATCAATTCTTTTTTATCTTCTCATTAAACAACAGTGAAGAAGGAAAGGATTGAAAAAAGGAGCACTGCTTGCCTAATGATAGCTGTAGGAACCCATCTTGTAAAGCATATTTAACAGTCATTTGATGGGATGGAGACTATTGTAATTTGATCATGTCATCTGCTGTGTCTTAGAATTAAAAACAGACAAATAATCCTTGTTCATGTATAACAAAGCAACTTAATATATCACATTTTCTGTCTTATGTGTTTTATTAATTGCTAGGTAAAAAAGGGGTAGCATTTGGTTTCCTGCAAACATAGCATATTCCAAATGCAGTGAGCCAGGTTTATTGCTGGTACAGCTTCTTTGAAACCTATGCATTTGCAGCAGAAATAATTTTGCCCAGTCCATTGAATCTTTGCAGCCTTTGCTCATTTGTAGCTGGTTTTACTGGCAAGTAATGTCTGGAATTAATCTCTTTTGACATTATCATGTTTAATTATGCTTGCATGCATTTCTGCACTTCTGCTTAAATAGGATTTGCAAGTCTCGAAATGTCTAAGTAGGGGTTGGGCAGTTTTTAAATGTTTTATTTACTTGTCCTAAGACCAAAAGCACAGTATGTTCACTCAGGCAAAGCAATCAGTTGGTGCCACTAGAAGACGAGATAATGTGTGTGGTGGGGGAATTTTCCACCTTTTTTTGTTCACAAAGAATTCAGACTATGCTAAAATGCTTATTCCATCATCCTAAAAAGCTGTACCAGAAGAACTGTACCTCTGTGGAGAAAATATGGAGGCATTACACTGACAACCCTACCCAACTTATTTATTTATTTTATTTGTCAAAAATAATTGGTATAAGTATAAACATGAGTAAGAATACAGAAAATAGATATGATTAAATGGGGACAATAGGACAGGGACAGGAGGCACGATGGTGCACTTATGCACCATGATGTAATGTAATGATGTAATGTTGGTTCAGCATTTAATGTGATATTTGTAACTGTGATTTATGAATGAAAAATTCAGTAAGGTAAATGATAGTTAAGAAAGAACAAGGATTCAGATGTGAACTAGAAACTATTTATTATGGCCTACAATGTTTTAAATTGGAGGAATCTTCTGTATTAATTTTAACAAGAGTTTAGCTTTTATAAGCTAGCTGCATAATTTTGGTATGACTGAATTTTGAATAATATGTCACTAATTCAGCCAGAATGATTAAACCACAAAGAATAGGAAAGCTGATATCATCATCATCAGATAAACGTATTCTATGGAAGCAATGGTCTCATTTTCAAATCTCGCAAATATTCTGCTTTCCTTTTTCTGTTTAAGGTGCTGGCCTCAACATCAGTGACACTGAGTCATGTCATGGCAGCCTGGATGGAAGTACAATGGCTAATTCCCAAATTGTTGAACTTAGAAGAATACCTATAGCAGACACTCATCTCTAATCCTTTCATCTTTTTAACATGCTGTACTGCATTCTGCTTTTTATACATGTGTTTTCTTTGAACAACAAAAGAATCTCACTACATATAGCTCTGTAACAGAATGCTGTGAATTATATCATTAAGGAATTAACAAGTTTTGGTTTTTTAAATGAAATAACCTTCTAATTTTTTTACAGTAAGCTATAAACAACTCATGTTTTAAACTATTAATTTAGATGAATCTATTCAAGTCAACTAATTTTTAAAATTAACTCCTATGACTATGTGTATTTCTGTTTTAATAAAAATTGATATAATCAGTTTGATGGAGATGGTGTGTTTATCTATGGGAAAGATTTGATAGTTATTAAGCTTCAATTTATTTTATTCCTATAGATATTTGCTTTGTTTTCTTTTGACCACAACAGAGTGTTATTTTACATTCCAAGCAAGAGAGAACATATTATAATCAGAAATTCACATGCACAGATGCTAATCCCACAGACAATTTGAAAACACATCTCAGTATGAACTAAGACTGGAGTAAAAAAGGAAAGACCTATAGTATCCTATTCTTGATCCTTCCTGAGTATAGGATCTAAAAAGCCCCTCTCTAAGGGAGATGGGAAGTTAATAAATAGGAAAATAGAGATAGATAGATAGATAGATAGATAGATAGATAGATAGATAGATAGATAGATAGATAGATAGATAGATAGATATGGATGGATAGATAGATAGATAGATAGATAGATAGATAGATAGATAGATAGATAGATATTATAGATATTATAATCTTTTGCATTTGAGGTTTTTGAAAATTTTTATTGCATTTAAAAGAAAAATCTTCACATATGACCCAGTATAGCTTAGAGCTCCAGGAGAATACAGAATTATTCTCAAGCTTTTTCATGTATCATAAATTGTGAGAAGTAAGGATGCTAAGCTGTTGGAAATGTAACCAAAAATCTGGCACATATTACCATCTGTGGTGGACTTGTGTTAAAGCAAAAAGGGGGGGGCAAAAATACTCATATGGTTAGAAAAGATGTTAGGAAAACATATAGATCTTAAACCCGAACTTTTAAAATTAGATTTAATATCAGAAAAAATTGATAAACAAAGTGTATATTTAATATTACATGTATGAACAGCAGCGAGGATTGTATTTGCTCAGCATTGGAAAAATGAAGAAATACCACTAGATGATGAGATAATTAAGAAGATATTGTGCAGAAATGGATCTCAATGCATATCTGTATTGGTTAGAAAATGGTTCCATATAAGAAAGTGTTTCTGCCCACTAGAGTTCAGAAATACAGTTGAACTGAGATACTTAAAGTGTGCTTATGTAGTAAATGATGACATAGAGTCAAGAATGAATGGTTAATGAATGAATGTGTAACAAATACTAAAGTGAGTAACTATTACAAAAGAAGTGTTCTCAGGCACTTTGGTTACATAGAAAATTAGAGTTAAATTGCAAAACAATTGTATGAAAAAAAAGTGGGAAAGATTCAGGGAAAAACCAAGAAAATCATGGTTGGATTGAGTTGATGAGATCATCAAATAACAAAAGGTAATGTGTTTAAAGAGAAAGGGCAATAAATGAATCAGTGCAGACAAGGTGGAAGCAAGGAAATTTTTATAAGACTAGAAATTAGGGAGAAGTACAGTGAAAGGTATTGATATAAAGAAGCTTTAGTTAGTTTTCCTTTGCTTTTTTGTTATATCTGGCCTTTATTTTCTTTTGTTCACTGCTTTTCACACTTTGGGCACTTCCCCACTTACATGTTAATGTGTATTCCTCCCATGCTTGAGGCAGCAGAAAAGTAGGTAAACCTAATTTGCACTGCTCCCATGGCCGATCTTTAGATACACAATAAGGAGGCCAGGGATGGCATTGTCCTTACACATGTAATAAGTGGAGATTTAGGACAACAATTGGTGAATGCCCTAATTTTCTTTCCCATCCTTCTCAGTACCTAGCATACAAGAAAAATAACCACCAATTGTTCCTTGAATGGTGTGGTGGGGCACGGTTGGATAGTGGATAAAATCTTGTACATCATACCATTATCTTCTTATGCCCTACTTACTGAATATTCATCTGGATTTGGCGAAGGATGGGGAACGGGTCCTAGGAGACTGATAATCCCATCTCTCTCTCTCTCTCTCTCTCTCTCTCTCTCTCTCTCTCACACACACACACACACACACACACACACACACACTCACATGAAACAAACCTTGGGTAGATCCATCAATCTCTTTCCAAATTTCAGTAATCACATTCAGAGTCTTTAAGAATAATTTAAAAAAAAAAAAAAAGCCTTAACTTCCAGGAGCTTGAGAGATCAATATTTCCATGTTAAGAAGGAGGAGGAGGAGGAGCAAGCAGTTGCCAGCCTGTCAGTGGTATTGGTAGTACTTTCCTCAAAAGTCCTGCTTTAAAACTATCACTTGCTGAACCAGGAAAAGCTACTCTCCAATATGTTCGCCCACACACCCAGAGCCAAAGCAGCAAGGGCACATTTTAGAAAATCTGAAGCTGAACTATTCTCACCTCTTTCCTTGCAGTGCCCCCATTCCAGCTATTGCCCCTGGTCTGCTTCCATGTTGAGTGTAGCTGTTACAACTACATGCAGATCCCCCTATTTCTTTCCATTTTTGCTTCTTCTCTACTGCTACCATAATACACATCCTGAGACATTGGTATAATACAGGAAGTCTTTGACTTATGACCACAGTTGAGCTCCAAATTTCTGCTGTTAAGTGAGACATGTATTACCTGAGTTTTGTCCCAAGTTACGACCTTCCTTGCCACAGTTGTTAAGTGAATCACTGCAGTTGTTAAGTTAATCACATGGTTGTTAGGTAAATCTGGCTTCCGCATTGACTTTGCTTGTCAGAAGGTCACACAAGGGGATAGACCTAGGGATAGAGCAGTGGTCATAAGTATGAACCAGTTGCTAAGCATCTGAATTTTGATCACATGATCATGGGGATGTTTCAAATGGAAAAGGGTCATAAGTTACTGTTATACTGCTGTTATAACTTTGGTCACTAAATGAACTGTTGTAAGTCAAGGAGTACCTGTAATGTTCTGATTTGCCCCGTGCAAGTGAGAGGAGGGAGGGAGGGAGAGAGAGAGAAAGGCAGTACATACCATCCCCAATTATCCCCAATTATTACTTGGCATTGGCTGGCAAAGCTTTATCCAGATGTCAGGGCCTTCCAAAGCTTTTTTAGCACTGTCATAGTGAGCCATGAATGAAGTGAGAGTACTGCCTGTCCAATCAGACAAGTATATCCAGAACTTTGTGCCATAGTCAATGTGATACTGCTGAAGTTCCTTGCCCTGTCATGTGTACTAGCAATGATCAGCCTTTAATGGGGGGAGAGGAGATAATGAAATCCATTTGTGATTTGCATGTACTTGAAATCCTTCTGTATGAAATAGCCTCAATGACCTAGACCTAAAGGTACTTCTATGTAATCAAATTGAATTATTTGGCATTTGTCAATGTATCTAGGGATCATCTGTCCCTTAAAAGACCTTTACACAAACTTTTGTTCTAGTGGAAAATTTTGACACAATCCAGTTCTCTTACTCAATAACATTGGCCCAGATAGTTGAGTGACCTGAAATTCATGCTACAACACGAATTCACCATTATTATCAACAGACAAGAAGCCGATATCATTTTCAGTCAAAACACAGAGTACAAACTGCTCTGATATTTTGCCATGGTGCACAATTGAATTGGTTAAAAAATCATGACAGCTTTGCCCCTGGTAGGAGTGTGTTACTGCTTGTAGTATACACTGGTAATTTTGCCGAAGATTAGCTGAATAGCTGGCAGTCAGCTTTTAATTTCTCTCACCTCCTTAAATGAGTTGATCCATCAAATAAAAATTGATTTCCTGCTATACTAAAAGGCCATGAGCTGCTTAAAGACATAAAGAACAAAGAAAGAATTACATAACAACACTACAAATGTTGGGTCATGAACCTAATAAGGAAAAAATCCACAACAAAACATTTTTCATAAGAGTAGGTTTAGTGGTGCCTTCTGCTGCTGACTATCTCAAAAACAAATACTTCTCCTCCAAAGAATCCTCAGGGGATACTTTTTTTAAATATATTTTATTAACATTTAATTAAAAGTTTATGCAATCATATTTCAGGCATGCATAACAAATAATCCAGAGAATTGTATTCAGATCAAAGTCAACCAAATCACTAGAAATCTTGACTGCTCAACACTGGCATTCATATAATTGTTACACACATAGCTTTTTATGACATTTTCCAGGTAAACAGGAGGAGGCATTTGCAATACTTCTAGATTGCTAATCAAATACACATCTGAGGTAAAATTCAAAGGGGCAAGTCATAAAACAGCAATAAGAAGAAGCAGCTACAAGACCAGGAAGGATTAAAATGTTGATTCCAATTATAGATCAAGCTGCTTAGATCAAGGTGACAACCTAAAACCCAAAGTTTTCCAAATGTGTTACACTTGAACTCTTATTCTCCCTTGACAATGGCCATTTTGGCTGGGGATGATGAGAATTGATCAAAATATCTGGAAGGCATGCCATAACCTACCACTACTTTAACCATATATCCTTCATTATTTGAGACAGTCCAGAAGTCTCTGAGTTCTTTTGCACACTTTTCCATCCACATCAATAATTAGGATCCTCTGCCTCCTATTGCAACTGTGGTCTTCATAATAGCATGTCAAACAATGACATTTTCAGTAACATTTTCAGGTCCTTTTAAAGCTTGTACGTTAGTCCAGGGACACAATTTCCCTTTGTCAAGGTGGCACTAGTGTGGAGTTGAATATAACTCACCCAAGGCAGTTTTGTGCAACTCGGGTGGACCTGAAGGATCACCACATCTTCTTTAAGCCTTCTACTTGAGAGCCTTAGGAAGAGGCCTTCATTCTATATCTGTTTGATGCCAAAATATCTGCCCTTATCCTTTGGGAGCAACTTCAGCAGTTATTACTATTATTGTTCATATTATTTTCAGATGGATATATGGTACATATCTCATATTACTTCTGTGATATTCATTTACACAAGATTATTTTTATACTACTTTTCAATTTGAAAAACACAAAATGGTTTGTCTAAGAGATATTTGTTTTGCATTTGAGTACATATCTCTAGCTGGCAGCCCTCAGAAGCA